TGCTCTCCGGGCGCTGGCGTGGGGCTGGCACCTGGCGGGGTCGGAGCTCGCGGCAGTTATTTTTAGAGCCCTCGCTGCAGAGTCCGGGGGTGGGAGAGGCTGTCACCGGGTCGGAGACAACTCGGAGCGGGGGAGGGGGTCAAAAGTGAGGCCGACTGCCTGCAGAGCTGTAAGAAAAGGGGATGCCCTTGCCAGGACTCCAGTCCAGGCTGCGGACCTGAGTCCGCACCGCACACCCCAGCCAATCCGATGGGGGAGGTGAGGCCAGTCGGGGCGACGAGGCCAGTCCCGGGGTGGGATGGCAGGGGGAGGCATCCGCATTGCAGGTGCACCAGAAGCGCCCCTGGGCCTGGCCCTGCTTTGTCTGGGAGGCGTTAGGGTGGAGGCCGGCTGAATCCGCGTCGCCTTTTCAAATGCGTTTTGCCACTGAGTGGACGTTAGAGAACCCTCCCTGATAAGTTACATTGTCTCCAGTCCAGATAACCCTTTACGTAAGTACCTTGCCTTCCAGCCCTTTGCTGAAGCTTTGATTTGGGCTTTAGTTTACCCTAAATGATGATTTGCTTGTGATTTGAAACCAAGCTGGATGCGCTGATGCGCAGAGCTCCTGACTGGGCCAGCAGGGCTGCCTGCCGGCTGCTACAGCGAGTTCCTCTAGTTTATCTTAACTTGGTTTCATGCGACCGACTGCATCGGTTATTTCAGGCTTTAATATTTAACACTAAGATCTATTCCAGTAATGGAAATGAGGTGTCCTAAGAGGAAATTTAATCGTGCTATGTAATCGAGATTGCAGCCATCGGTCCCATAACAAAACGCAAGCTACCAGACTATTAATACTTTCATATGTTACGCATTTCCAGAAACCTACCTGTGAGAGTGCTAAAGCCTGCATTGATGTTTCTTAAAGACTTCAAATTTGAAATATATGAAGTTTTGTTATTTTAGTAAATGATTTTTTTTCTTTTTTTTTTTCTTTTTTGCAGTCAAGAATTTCCCTGCATTTTCTTGCCATTGCATTGTAAGGGGGAAATGCTAACATTTAAAGGATTCACACTTCCAAAGATGATTTGAATTTATGTATTTCATTTAGCTAAACGTTAACCTGTGAAATATATTGAAAGATTTGTGCTCTGTATGTGTGTGTGTATATGTGTGTGTGTGTTTCCTTACAAATACATGCACACTACTGAAATAGTTGGTGTTATCCCTTAGCATTGTGTATAATTGCCCAGTAAATTTCCTGCTCATATATTTAAAATCTAAAGTATGGTACAGTTATTTTTGTGTGTCAGTTTACTGTACCACATGTAAATATATCAACCCAACAAACAGGTTCCTTGGAAGTTAGATGTTTTTACTCTTTTCTAAACACTAAGTAGTTCTTTAACTTCCAGTAGGATTCTTTCATCTGTTATTTGTTGGTGAGATTCATTTTAACATCATCGTTAATTGGTGGAATGCATTCATAACAAATCTGGTGGGAGTAACAGTGCTGATGCCTTGCAGAAATATCTGTTTCTATTGCATTGCATTTTCTCCTATTTCTGGCAAGAAAAGACATGGACCTTTTCTATATAGAAGAGGGTCAGCCATAAATAGTTCCTAACATATAATGAGTGTATGTGTTTACTTATTATGTCTGCTGAGTTGAGTATCCTAAAGATGGGTGACATACCTGTCTCTGCTCCCCATTCCAAGGGTGGCAATAAATGTTTGAGTCAGGTGGACCTTCCAGAACAATTAGGTAGCTGCCAGCTTGGTGACTCCAGTGTTCACATCTCCAGCCTTGATGCTTAAACCCGCAGAGTGGTTTGATTGGGGGGAGGGGGGCAGGGGTAGGGTGGAATGTGTCCTAATTGTCTTCAGCAATTCATGTTGTATAGCAAAAGAATTTCATTAATGTCTTAGTGTGCCAGGGAGACAGATTTCACTTTGACATAAAAGCCTCCAGCAGTGAAAAGAAAGGCAGCCTTCCACTGAGGAGTTTCCTGATAAGGTGGTTCCTCGGGAAATAACTGCTTGGAGGTATCACTGGTGCAGGGCAGGGCTGGGCTGGAGAGCCAAGGTCCCCAAACAAGTGGATTGGAGGGCATTGTGCTACTTTTTTATTTCTTATGCTGGCTTCTACATAAGGGCACAGTGGCACCCCCAATACCCACTGCACCCTTGGCAGGTTTTTCCAGGGTGCAGATCAGCCTGGTGCCAGAGGTGGCTCTGTCCTACTCTGCTTTTGTGAGCGGCCCTACGGGGACTTTCACTTCCAATGTTTTGTTGAAAAACTGTTTCATTGTAAGAGATTTGTATTTCTTCCTTTGTTTTCTATTTAATCAAAAGGAAAATTACTGTCTTCTATGGAGGCAGGCAGAGGAGTCTGGTTTTTTTCTTAAGCTCTTTTTCCAAATAGAATGATGTCAGTCACTCACTCCTTTGAGTCAGCAGGTTGTGAAGGTGAATGGATTTTTTTCCCCTTGGCAGAAATTATTTTATAGAAGATAATGATGAAGGGCTGATTCTTGTGCTTGCTCTGCATTTTATTTTCTGTTTATTTCATTACTTAAACATGACTCAAATTTCGCAGCAAAAAGCCCAGTCATATCCACCTACAGTAAGTTGCACTGGACTTCTTTCCAGTACGTCTGTGTTGTATTTAAATATATGTTGTCGGCTGAAGGTATAACAAAGCTGAGAAGTAGAATTACAGTGTAGTAAAAAGACTGGTTGACTCAAGCTTTATGCTTGAAGAATTAAAAATTGTATCCCATTTGTGCTACTCCAGTCTTACCAGTAACAGTTTATCAACAGCAGAAGTGATCTACCCAATGTAACAGACTAGGCTACTGGCTGTCAGTCACAATATCCCAATGGAGTGGTGGGAGGAGTTGGGCTCTGTGGGCACGGAGCTGAGCAGAGCTTCCTGTGAACCCAGGGGGTCCCACGCCTGCTCTGCCCACAAGGATGTCACTGGTACATGATGGTAACCAGGCCAGCTGAGTTAAACCAGCTCATGTTAGGAAGATAATAGAGGAAAAAGAATTCTGCATTGATGTATACATGTGCTTCCTATTTTTAAATCCTTTTCGAACTAGTTTCTCCTTTCTGTTCTTTAGTAAATGGAGCTTTGTCTCATGTTTTTGTGCCCATTATCCACCAGCTAAATTAGGGTGCAGTCATTTAAATATGACAAAAGACTCAAACTTTGACCAAGGGGATGCATCACTTATTCATAGTTTGTGCGCACAGGGCAAAGAGAATAATATCATGTTCTTCTGGCTAACTGAAAAATAAAACAAGAAAATCTTACACATTTTTTATCCCTAGATAAACATAGATGTTGCTTTAAATGTTAGGTCCAGGATGCCAAATTGTCAAGTGAGGCAACCAGTTAGAAAGCGGCCCGTTGAGAGGGAGAAGCTGCTTTTTGAAGCTCTTCACCCCTTAAGAAGGCAGTACACAGCTGTCTCCGTTGAGCAATCGGGGGATGGGAGTGGTCTTTCCTTGCAGGCCTGTACACTGCAGGGCAGGTGGAGCGACACCTTTCTGACTGCTCCGAGTACCAGGCTGTCAGAAGCAGCCTTATGAGCAGGAGGCAAGGCCTCCACCGCTGTGAGGGGGAGCCTCCCTTGTTTGGGGTCCCCAAATAGCTACATCTCACAGCTCCTACCCTACAGGAAGAGCAAAGCTGTGGTGCTTGACATGCACAGTGAGTGAGGCAGACAGACAACTGTAGTAGAGGGATTTGAGGCAAGAATCCTCTGCTGTGACAATTTCTCTCTTTGCTGCCTTTTGGCAGCACTTGAGAGATTAACTTGAGGTCTGCATGAGATGTTATCTTTTGTTCTTCAGCTTTCCTTCCTTCTCAGCACACCCTGCAACCTTCTTGTTTACTGTGAGAAAAGAGGGTTCTTTTGGAACATTGCTTAAGCATCAGTGCTACAGGTAAATGAAAACCCCAGTGTCCTCAGGGTGTTACAGGGCCTTCAACTGGGTCTTCAACTGCAGGCACACACAAAAAGGTTAATAATGAGCTTATTTTCAAGAGAAAGGGAAAGTAATAACTGAGGGAAAGAGGGAAAGATGATTAATGTGTCCTGCCAGTTCTGCTGACGTGGAACCCCAATAACACGCTGAAAGCCAACAAAAAGCCAAGAAACCCCCAAAACCGCATGTCCAGCTTTATATCCAAACATCGCTGCTTAACTACACTGTAGGTCACAGCATGCTTCCCAGCATGTTGCTGGGATTTGTAGTTCCAGTGTCTGGAGTTGTGGCGAAGTCCACAAATCCTGTATCTGTAGAATTCATTCAGTACATCCTTTCCCCCAACAATGGTACTGTTCTCTGAGGTGCACTGTCACCTTGAGGGCATCTTCTGCATACTGTGAGGGTACCAGCCCCAGCCCCACTCTCCTAAGCTCTGCTGGAGTCTTGCATCAGGCCTGTGTTCCAGGCCCAGGGCCTTTGCCTCCCTCCCCGCAGGCAGTATGGCCCTGCCATTCTGCTCAGCAGCCTGTGGCAGCAGACCCCCTTGCACCCTGGCGATAGAGAGCTGCTGTTTTCAGCCTCATGTGTCCCCATGCACAAGGATATAGCAAGGTTATAGAGGGGTGGGGGGAGGCTGCCTCCTCAGGGGTCCACTTTGTCTTCAGTAGTGAGTCACCATTACCTCTTGGGCCACTATGGCAGAGCAGCAGCTCCAGCCACTGAGGCAACTGCTCGAGATACACCCCAGGCCCTGGCTGCGATTGGGCAACAGTCCTCTGCAGCCCTGGCCTTGGCGACTGTGATGGGTTTCTAGTGAGGAATTTCTTTCTATCAAGAGAGTGACCTGTCTATGGCTGATGGGATGAGGCTGTCCGCCAGCAAGACTGGTGTCAGAACCAGGGTTTGCAAAGCCCAGGCTGTCAGGTGCGGGGCAGGCGTTTGGGGCGAAGACAGAACAGAAACCTCAGTTGGTACCACAGAGGGAATGTGGTCTTGGTGGGGATGGTCCTGGGAGTGGTTCACTGCTGTCTGTCAGGTGCTGAGCCTCAGGCATGGTGGGTGGGACCATGTGCCCTCTGGGTCTTCACTGGCTCATTCTAGAGCACAGCTGATCTTGCTGGCCAATGAGCTGTGGTCAATGAGTGTTCTGGCAGCACTCCCCGAAGGGGCACAGGCCAAAGTTGGCACAGGCCACTTGGGCCTGCTGGGCAGGTTACCATCCTGTGCCTGAGGTGGTATGAGTGGAGTGGAGACCTAAGGGATGGGAGTCCTTGTGTGTAGAGGGGAGTCCCACAGGAAAACCTCAGTAAGCCTGTGGCCCTGGGTGCTATTGTGCATGCACACACACACACACACACACACACACGGGCTGGCCATCATGCTCGGAGCTGCAGAGAGCAGCCTCTCTAGTGCATGACCTAAGTCTTCTCTGCATCTCATCTCTTTGCTGCTTGACATTGGGTGTTGGCCACCCATGGTGGGGCCTCTGATCATGGCATCCCAGGCC